TTCAAAGGTGTAGCTATAATACATACAACAAGTCTCTTAATTTTCAAAAATTCCAAACAGCCATAAAATTTTCTTTTTCTTTTGTCATATTTTACCTTTGAATAAGAAAATTATTAGAGGTATCTTTAAAAGCCCATAATATAATGTAGCCTAACCATTTTCCAATAATTCCATATTTGTGAAATTCCCCCCCAAGTTATAAAACGAGAGAGAAAAAAAAAAATATTTTGCAAATAATTTTCTTATTACAATTCTTAAAGCAAATCAAATCATATTGTTTATTGTCAGTTATTTCAAATTCTGTTGAATGAAACATAATGATATAATAGCAATGCAATAATTTATCATTACTTGGAATCATAAGATAATGAACCATTATGCTAATACCTATTTCTACATGCATGCATTAAATTTGTTTAAATTCCTTGATAAATGTTACTCTCTTGTTTATCATTAGCAATGTAGTCTTGTAACTTTTAAAATATTTAATCTTAGGCTTAGCTTTATTTTGGTATGCAGTTCCCCTCACTAATGTATATGTAAATTGCACATCTACTTAATTATTATTATTATTATTTTTTTTTACATGCCTGGGGGTTGAGCATTCAAGGATTCCATAATGGGGTCAGTGGTCTAAAAAAAATGGGGACCCCTATACTAGGTGGGTTCACATCTGATACAGGTTAGAAACTAACAAAATGTCTTGGATAAGATACCTACAGGATAAACAGAGAAAACTGGTGTACAAACACAGTATCATATAGAAAAAAAAGGGGGCTATCTGCAGCTTATCCCATTATATCGCAAAAATGTGGCTCTTTGGGGGGTATATATTTGAGGTGCTAACACCAATAGTATTTAGACTGAATTCTTGAGCTCATGGTAGTTAACCCAATGATGCTGGACCAAAAGTTGGCACTTTTACCAGGAACTGCAGGAGCACTTAGCCCAAAATTTATTGCACACAGCTTGCCCGGCCAGCTCACCATAGGGAGCTCCAGTGTGTTGGTGTAAAAGCAATACATGACAGCTCGAGTTGTATCCGACCCCAAGCCAAAATATCTCAGGATGGTTATAGTTATGTGAGGTAATTTGAATTGTAGAAGATGCTAAAAATCAAGTACCTCACATTGTCAAAAATTAAAGATTTTTGCCATTTTCTCATAGCTGGTCTCTTCAACTGTCCTTACTACTGATGAGTATGAATGACTATGATCTATTTCAGAAGACAAGTTATAATTTCACATATCATGAATCGTCATTAAAAATATGCTTCCTATAAAGATGCCAACTGTTAAAAACATCATGTTGTCTAAAGTTCAAACACTAAAATTATATTACCAAGAGCATAGAGAGTAAGTCCAGCATAAAGTCCCAGGTAAGTCTCACTTGCACCGACCAAGATGAAAGCTGGGATCATCATGACCAAACCCTGGGGGCAGAACAGGAGAAAAAGATGAATATGAGAGATAGAGAAAAAAAAATATTCTATGAAAATTCTTGATCTAATGGTTAACTAATGGTGAAATTTTGGATTTCTATACCTAATAAATTATATATCTAAATTTATGGCTAACCACCATGACTCACTAAATTCTTAACTCTCAAGAATTTTTACTTTATCTATTTTCTACACCCTATTCATGTCAATACTTAAAATATCCTAATATTTTGTTTCAATAAAAGCATTCACACAGTCCTACCCCTACAACATTAAATAATAATAAAAATTCTTAAGACAATAAATCTTTATACTGAATGCTGAAGTGAAGTTAATCAGTCAGGCTATTTACATAAATCTGTAAAAACATAAGCATGTATGCATGTGTGCTGTCTGCTCTCCCTCCTTCTCTCCCTGCCTCTTTTTCCCTCTCTCATAAAAATATCAGACACATATAGACAGACAGAGATAGATACACACACAGAAAGAGAGAGGATCAGACATAGACAATGTCCCCCCCTAAAAATATATCAAATTTATATCTAATCTAAACTAGAGAACAGAAAGGAAGAAATCAAACCAACTTCACACCTACCATATTAGCCATAGATTTCTCGCTCCCGTCCTTGATGCGGCGCACATACCCGCCCTGCATCACCGCCATGACCAGCCCCAGGAAAGTGAACATGCGGCCCTGGTCCATTGAGGTGTAATGGTGCTTGTGGTGCGTTACGAAGGTGAGTGTGAATTCCAGGCCAGAGTACATGAACAGGTACAGGAAGTACACGTGTCCAAGTCTGATTAATCTGGCACGTTCTGGAAAGGAATCAGCTGTGAGAATTAAGTATGAGGTATATTTTTCTAATTCTAGTTCAAGTGCGAGCGGAAGAGACTCAACTGCACATTACTGGATGTGTTTAGTTTTTCTCTCTGGATCAAAATACTCTTTTTACTGAATGATAACAAAATCAACATTTGCATAACATCCGACAAGAAACAACTTGAAAATAACTAGTGCTCTCATATAAAGTATATATCTTCAAGACCAACAGATTCAGT